CCCCGTATCTGCTTCATTAAACCATTCTCTGTCTTGCGGTGGTTTAAGTCAGGGCAGGAAACGCTTTGTAAAATGTCTGTAAGCTAGAGAAATTCATTCTCTTGATATAAACCTTCCTGAAATCATATTTTCCATTTTATCTATCTCATCATTTTTTTAAAAGAGAAAAGATGTGTATATTCATTGAGCAACATGGACAGAGGAGGAAGGAAGGGGTACCCACTGCCCACTACGCAGTCTTCTCCATCCTAGTCCCAGAGGAGGATATTTTTTTTTTGGCATATTATGGGGGTACAGATTTTAAGGTTTCAATAAATGCCCATTTCCCCCCCTCCCCCCAAAAGTCTGAGTCTCCAGCATGACCATCCCCCAGATGGTGCACATCTCACTCATTATGTATGTATATGCCCACCTCCCTCCCCCCTCCCACCTGCCCAATACCCTATTACTGTAGCACCTATGTGTCCACTTAGGTGCTACTCAGTTAATACCAGTTTGCTGGAGAATATATGTGGTGCTTGTTTTTCCATTCTTGGGATACTTCACTTAGTAGTATGGGTTCCAGCTCTAACCAGGAAAATATAAGATGTGCTATATCACCATTGTTTCTTAGAGCTGAATAGTACTCCATGGTATACATATACCACATTTTATTAATCCATTCTTGGATTGACGGGCACTTGGGCTGTTTCCACAGCCTTGCAATTATGAATTGTGCTGCTATAAACATTCGAGTGCAGGTGTCTTTTTTGTAGAGTGTCACTGGATCATTTGGGTAGATGCCCAGCAATGGGATTGCTGGATCAAATGGTAGATTCACTTGTATCGCTTTAAGGTATCTGAGAGGAGGATATTTTCATGGTTCAAGTGTTCTCCCCCAGACTCACAAGCCTAGTGGTAGACGTCATGTTATGCGTGCATCAGAGTCCCACTCTCCAGAGTTTATTTAATCCTTCATGGAGCTCAGACCTCATTCTAGTCTTTTGTCAATCTAAATTCCATTCTGTGTACGTAAGTCCATCTCTTCTGTCTGCCTCTTTTTTTTCTTGAGTCTTTGGTGTTCTGCAGTTTTATTGCATCGCGTCTAAGGATAGATTTTTGTCTGTTTTTGTCTATTTTTGTCTGTTTTTAATCCTATTTGGGATTTTCTAGGCCTCATGAATCTGAGGATTCCATGTGCTTCATCAGCTCCAGAAAGCTCTCAGCCATTATCTTTGTGAATATTGCCTCTTCCCTATTCTCTTTTTTCTCTATCTTTATGGAACGTCAATTGTATATGTGCTGACCTTTTCACTTTATCCTCCATGTCTCTTTGGTATTTTTTCCCATTTCTTTAACACTGTAATTATTTTGGTGGGTTTTGTTAGCTGCACCTTGCAATATACTATTAATAATTCTCTCTTCAGGTGGATCAAATCAGTTGGTTAGTCCCTGTGTTGATTTTTTAATTTAAATTATATTTTTTATTTCTAGAAAGTCTATTTCAAGCTGTTAAAAAAAATGCTTGACCATTTTTAGAGTCTCCTGCTCCTTACTTATGTGTTTAAATTCCTTTTTATTTCTTTAAACATACTAAATGCATTTGTTTTATATCTATATCTATTAATTTTATCTCTAAAGCTTTGGGAGATCTAGTTCTCTTCTTTCTTGTTTCTCCTCAGTCTCACACAGTGGCTTATTGTGTGTGTGTGTGTGTGTGTGTGTGTGTGTGTGTGTGTGTGTGTTAATCAGGTCATATTTGTTAGAACTTACCTGTGGGAAACTTTGAGGCCTGGGTTAAGGAAACCTTCCTAAAGGGAAGATTTGTATTCACCTCTTCCAGATGCCTAGAATTTATTATTTTTTTTAAATATAGTAAGCCTTTACTTTTGGCCAATTTATTTCCATAACTATTTAAATAATTTATTTATTGTTTTGTTTGAATTACTTTTCATATATGAGGATGGAAGTAAAATCCCATTGTTTCTTAGGAAGGCATATACACTGCATCTTCAGGTAAAGCAAACATTCGTTTGTGAAGATGCTTTACCGCATAGTCTCACACAGCCTTTTGATTCTACTTTTTCACTTTTTAATTGCAATACGATACATATGCAGAAACATGCAAATATCCTCAGCGTACAGCTGGATAGATTTTTACAAACCAACCATGCACCTGGACCCAGCACCCATATTAAGAAACAGAGAACATTACCAAAACCTCGCAAGTTTCCCTCATGCCCGTTCTCAGCATTGCTTGGCCCTCCGCAAAGTAAACACTTTTCCTGACTCCTAACAGAACAGATTAACTTCACCTGGTTTTTATCGGATAGCACACATTCTTTTGTGTGTGTTTTTTCTATCATTCAGCATTATATTTCTGAGCTTCAGCCATGTGGTTGCATGTAGCAATAATTTGTTCACTTTCACCGATGTATAGACTTTAGTGGTGTTATTATATCACAATTTACGTATCTATTTTACCGCTAATGGGCATTCTAGTTGGGAATATTATAAATGGTGCTATTGTGAACATTCTAATTCTAGTATATGCCTTTTTGTTCATATATGTATGTGTTTATGTTGAACATATACCTAGAAGTGGACTTTCTGAATTACAAGGTATACATAAGTGCCAGTTTTCCAACCGACAGCGTATAAAAATCCAAATGTTGTACATCCCCACCAACACTTGATATTTTGTCTTTTTTTTTTTCATTATTAATATTTATTCTGGTGGGTGTGTAATGGTATCTCATTGTAACTTTAGTTTGAATTTCCCTGATAACTAATGAAGTTGAGCATGTAAGTTGGCCTGAAGTTTGTGGGATCAAACTAATAATGTAGACTCAGGCCCACCTTCCAAGTGAGGACCTGCCAGAGGCCATGAATACTTAGCTAAAAATTTTTTTAATTATAGCTCCTCACAGAAACCAAGCTGGTGCAGAGAAGTTGCCATCTTTTCTCTGCTGTCTACAAATACCTATGGAGTTTGTTATTTTATTTTGCTTTTTTTTTTCTATTTCACCCTTTCTATTTCATCCATCCACCTACTGGATCCCAGTATCTTTGGTATGGTCAAGGACCCCTTCCTGCCTGCCTGGGCCCAAGCTTGGCCCCTAATTTCTCTGACCCAGAGACTCTAGTTGGTTCCTCTAGATCTACATGTGCGTCCAGAACACCCAGAACTTTGGTGCCCACTCACCTCCCTGAGGTCAGCTCCCACCTCTTTCTCCCTGTTACACATTTTGTCCTCTCAGGAAGCTTCCCTATTTATTAAAAAGGCTGTTGTTCACATTTTATTCATAATTTAGGGTGTGGTAAAAGTAGATTTCAGGAGTTTTAGTTCTCCATTTTGTTTTGTGGTGGAAAAATAACATACAATCTGGACATGTCTTACTCTGCTTTGTGACACAGGTCTCTGTGCCCAGCACTTGCCAGCATTTGGAAGGGACTGTTTCTGATGCCCTGCGTAGTGTCCCCACAAGGCTTTCTCTGAAGGTCCCCATGGGGTAAATCATCCGAACCACCAATAGGCCTCACTAGTAAAGGAATACAGACGAAAGTCTTTCTCTACTTAAGGGTGGAGACAAGGATGAATCCTCTATTCCAGGTGTCCTCAAACGACGGCCCATGGGCCACATGCCACCCACCTAGCACATTTATCTGGCCCTCTGGGCGCTTTTGCCACCACTGCCTGTCCTGCTTAGCAGCCGACTCATCCCGGGCACACAGTGGGCTCTCTCCAATGGTCTGAGCGACAGTGAACTGGCCCCCTGTTTAAAAAGTTTGAGGACCCCTGCTACTCTACGTGAATCTATGACATCGAAGCTTTCAAAAGAAGCTAACCTAGTCAACAATCAGGCATAAAGGTGGAAATTGATGATCCCGGGATTTTGCCCAGAATTGTGAATGTTCTGTCCCCTCATTTATAAAACTGTAGGAAAGATAAAGTGAGTTATCCCACAAAGGAAGCAAAAGGATTAACAAGACGAGTTAGGGTTGTCTAAGTACATATTAAGGTTTGACAAGCTATAGTTTAAATTCTACAACTTTATTGTACTTCTTATGCTATTTCCTTGAATATTATGGTTGGTTTGAAGGTGTTCCTTATATCTAGAATGTATATGAAATTAAAAATTTGAAACCATATAACCTTATAGTTTATCATGCACTCAAAAGCATTTACTGATCCCAAACAAATAATTGAATTTCCTATCTTTAGCTGCTAAAATGGCTTTTTAACTTCAGTTTTGTGTTCTTAGTTCATGTCCAGTGAGAAATATAATTTCCTCTAGCATCCCTTGGATAATAAGGATTCTTATTTGAGATAGGTAAAATATCTCAGCATGATTTTATTTACTGAAGTCACTTAGATAATTTTCCTGTTTTAAACACCTTCGTTGTAATTTGATGCGTTTGCAATATCTTCAGTAAATGAAATAAAAAGAGATTGTTTTGAAATCATGGTTGTAATGAGGTCATGTATCTTTTAAACATCTAAACTGTTCTAGTTTGTCTTCTGTTACAGAAACGAAGGCATTTTAAAAAGAGATTTCAATTTCTGTGAAAACAAAGCCTTATATATTCATGTTTACATCAAACTCCTATGAGACTCATGAGGAAAAACAAATTGAGGACAACGTTCCACAGAAGATGGAAGACAAAGCAGTTGATCCTTGAGGACTGTTGGTCAGTATCCTGTGATAATGAGCACATGACTTCTGTTCTTCGAATTCCACCAACCACTTTAGTTAACTGCCCGGAGCCTGGATCTGACTTACAATCATTGATAGCTGTGTGAAATTGACCTTTAAAAGCATTGACCAAATGAATTAGAATTTTAAAAGACACAGAACAATTGAAAAAAAAATTCTTACAAAAAGAAAATTTGATGGTGAAACAAACCACAATGAGGCAAGATTGACTTTTCCATTTACCGGGTTGAAGAACTAATGTAATTGCCCCTTAAAAAAAAAAAAAAAAAAGATGAACAGCACATGTATTGAAGAACAGCACGACCTGGATCATTATTTATTTCCAATTGTTTACATCTTCGTGATTATAGTCAGTGTTCCAGCCAACATCGGATCTCTGTGTGTGTCTTTTCTGCAAGCAAAGAAAGAAAGTGAGCTAGGGATTTACCTCTTCAGTCTATCGCTATCAGATTTGCTATATGCATTGACGCTCCCTGTATGGGTCAATTACACTTGGAATAAAGACAACTGGACTTTCTCTCCTGCCTTGTGCAAAGGGAGTACTTTCGTCATGTACATAAACTTTTACAGCAGCACAGCCTTCCTCACCTGCATTGCCCTTGACCGGTATTTAGCAGTTGTCCACCCTTTGAAGTTTTTTTTCCTGAGGACAAGAAAATTTGCATGCATGGTCAGCCTATCCATCTGGATACTGGAAACCATCTTCAATGCTGTCCTTCTGTGGGAAGAAGAAACAGTTATTGAATATTGCGATGCCAAAAAGTCTAATTTTACTTTGTGCTATGACAAATACCCTTTGGAGAAATGGCAAATCAATCTCAACTTGTTTAGGACGTGTACGGGTTATGCAATACCTTTGGTCACCATAATGATTTGCAACAAGAAAGTCTACCAAGCCGTGCGGCATAATAAAGCCACGGAAAACAGTGAAAAAAGGAGAATTATAAAACTACTTGTTAGCATCACATTGACTTTTTTTTTATGCTTTACTCCCTTCCATGTGATGTTGCTGATTCGCTGCATTTTAGAGGGTGGCGTGAACTTTGATAACCACAATAAATCTGGGAAGCAGACTTACACAATATATAGAATCACAGTTGCATTAACAAGTCTAAATTGTGTTGCTGATCCAATTTTATACTGTTTTGTAACTGAAACAGGAAGATATGATATGTGGAATATATTAAAATTCTGCACTGGGAAGCATAATACGTCACAGAGACAAAGAAAACACCTACTTTCTACATCTACAAAAGATACTGTGGAATTAGAGGTCCTAGAATAGAATCAAGGACATTTTGGGGGGACATGGATGTGTTTGGGGAGGAGGGGGCAGTTAAAGTACACAGTATTATATCATCTTGATGATATAACTATATTTTGAAAAGGATATCTAGAACTAAGGGCTCACAGAGAGCTATCTTTATCCTATCCAATAGAAATATTTTTAAAAGTGCATTGTACAGCTGAGTTTTATTAAATGAGATATATTAAACAAAATTAAGCATTTTCTCATGACTCAGGGTCATCATTGTTAATGGCATTTTTTTGTGTGTCTGTGCTATAATCCCTCAGAGGTCAGTAAGGTATATAGGATGGTGTGTCTTTATATTAGTGGCCTTTGTATCGGGGTTTTGTGATTTTTCTCACTCTTTTGGATTTCATGCTGTCTGCCATTAGTTCTCCCAATTCTGTGTAGCTCTTTCCAACGACTTCAACTACTAAATACTATTCTGATCTTTTCATTCTTTAACAAATACTTATTGAACTTGATATACTCAGTTTGTGTTGAGTACTGGGGCTACCAAAAGTCCCATGAAGCCTCTCGAAGTTTATATCAGTTCAGAAACCTACTCACTGAGCTTGAAATATCTCTATAATAGGTAAAAGTAAATAGGCTCTGAGTTTTGTTTTGACATTTAAAAAATTTAAAATAGGTGAGTACAACACAGTTGAAATTATCATAAGTTTAATGTCTAGACAAATAGTTCTATTAAATATTACATTCAGAGGCTTCTTTTTGGACTTAGAATATTTAAAGAGTCTTATATATTAAGACTAGATATCTCTCTATGGTCTTTTGAATCCTCATTTTGGAAATTACTCTGCCTGGTTGTAGGTAGTCACAAGGTTAAAATTTTTCTTAACCAAAGTGTTTTTAAATATTTTTCTTTCCCTACTCTTCTCCTTCCCTTCTTTCTCTTACCTGTCTGTTCTTTCTGCTCCCTCTAAAATGATCAGATAGCAAATGACTTGGTAACATTTGGTACCCTCACACTATAAAACAAAATCCTGATAAGAAAGACCAATATCCTTTCAATAATGAATTTCTAGACACACACTGAAAAATTAGCGAATGCACGGACTGACTACATTTTCCATTAAGTTTTTCCATGATGGTGTGTGTATGTCATAGAAAACCATCTTGCCTTGAGGTCACATGCATTCTCTGTTCTTCGCGGTTTTCTGGTCATGATGTTTTTGGAGAATTAGCAGATTCTCTCTGGGCACTCTGATATACACATAGGCTTAAAAACTACAGATGCTTTAAAACTTAAAGTAATTAAAAATTATTTGAGTTGTTTGATTAATTGCTGATAAATTATTGGCAGGTGGGAGTTGAATATTTGTGAAAGTAAAAGATCCAAGAGCAATTTTCCCCCTTTATGATTTTTTTTTTAACTTCTACCATTTCTTTCTTTAGGCATGATAAAGACAGCTGCATGAAGAGCTGTTCAGTGTAGTCATTAGATTTAGGTCAGGATTTTCAAGATACAGGAAAAAAGGAGAATTATTTCATTAATCAACACCTCTGGAAATATACCTCTAGAAATCATATAGAATGTCATTAAACTGATGTTATAGAGAACTGATTAGCACTTTTCCTCAGTTGGTTATACAAAGAGACATGACAAATCCAAATTTGTGGCACCCTTAATAAGAATGTTCTACTTAATGATCAGCAGCAAAATGTTGATTTGGATTTTGTGAGATAAGTTTCCAGGTGAACCAGGCTGCCCAAACTTCCTCACAGGTGGTCTTTCCTACCAGAGCAGGACCAATCATGGAGAAGCCATGCTGAGAGGACACTCATATCATTGAAGGTAAAACACTCTAGAAATGATGTAAAAATTATCTAACATCTCAACATTGGAAAGTTAATCCTTTGGTTTTCAAAGGCCTTTTAGGTTTTCTTACTAAAGTTCCCCAGTAAATTGAAAGTACTTCTGGAAGGGATTGGACCTTCTAGCTGTTATTACCTGGGACTTTCTTGTCCAGAGACTTAGCTTTGAAGACTAGCTGTTTGACCTCCAAAAATTTTTGTAATTTCCCCAAAGTTCAAGTTCTATAAAGTGCAGGAACAATAATAATACCTGCTTTTTAACAAGTAGATGCGAAAACATTTTGTAAACTGTGGTGAGCTGTCTAAATGTTCTTTATTAGTAGTTATTCTCAACTTTGTCAAGATTATTAGAAAACTTACCCAAAATATAGAAAAGTCCCTGATGGGATGGTGGACATAGAAATGTAGCAATGTAAGTTGGCATTCCTCCAGATGATTAAATGCATCATTAAGGTAATTTAAGGACCGTCATTGTTTCCAGTTCTGTGGAATGTTCTCAGTAGTGCCTGCTTCTAGGAGTTAGACTCTGAGGTGACATACACTGTGGACATCAACATACAGGTAGACATCCATTTTCAATTTGTTTATATTTTTGACTTTGTATTATCTTATTCAGAATGTTATTTTTGAATGTAACAAACTGGAAAAAGACATACTGTATAGGCCAGAGAAGAAACCAAATACAAGTTTTTAAAACCTCCCTTTTCCTTACCCAGTTTGGGGAGGCTTCATGGATGAAGGGCAACTTTAAAAGCACCACAAATAACCACCTCATTCAGTCAAAATTATACAACATTTACCCTGGAGCACTGTGAGAAAAGTATGTTTTACCCAACCTGATTTTTTCCTTTTTCTCTTTTCAAGCTAAGCTAACATTTCTCCCCAAGACATTAGACTTCTACTCCTTAATGGGATATTCAAATAAACAATTATTTGCTGATTGCCTCTGTTGACCTTGTTACCTTCATTTATTTCTAATTAGACAGTGCCTATTTTAAAACAGAATCTGTGATACAGAGTATATAGGCCCTCTTCAACAACACTTTTATCTGTCCCTGTGCTTCTTTTTGTCCAATCCTCACTGTCATCACTCTGCCAGCCATGCCGGGGGCCCCTGTTCTTTTCTGGCTAAACCTACCCGTAGGTTGCTATGGAAACACAACAGCTACTATACCATCCTAATCTAAGAAGGTCTTTGTGATAATAGACTTCTTTGTCTAGGTCTATCGGGCTGGGCCTGGCCGTAGAATCAGAAGACTTCCTCCAGAATACACATACAGACACAAGACATATCTATGGAAACATACAAACAATTGGCCCCATCTCACAAAAATAAACAAAAAAGCAAAAATCCCTCGGACCTTTTAGCATGTGCTTGTGCTGTTCTATAAAGTGTTTAACACCAACTAGTGGAACACATATTACCCCCTTGACTTCTAAAATAATTCACCTCTGGGTATTTTTATTTTCCTGTTTACTAAATCAGCAGCAGGCAGGAGGCAGGGGAAACATTTTTAAGATTCTTCCCTGACCCTCTTTCCTTCTTTCTTCCCCAACCAGAAGTGGCTGCCAAGGGAGCTATGGTAAGAAAACTCCTCTCCACATTTTTTCTTTGCTTTACTAGTCTGGAAAAATCCAGTTCTGACTGAGTTTTATTTACATCTCCTGGATAGACACCTTTGGGGGGAAAATCATAGAAATTTAATTTAAAACGATACAGAAATGTAGTTTTAAAATTGTTTTTGTTCATAATATAAACAGCTGATTCAGCCCAAGTACAAAAAATATACTTATGTATATATTCAACCACTATGATCACTATTGTCTTTTATTTTTGTCATTTCAAATAGTTTAAAGATAGAGCACAACGTGATTAGCTTCATGTTATTAGTTACATTAGTTGAACTCATCTGATTTAAAGGAATGAGGCTGGCAATGGCAAAAGTGGATCAAATTTGGGGTGAGGAAGAAGTGATATGGGGGTTAAAATTCCTCTTTTCCCCTGCAAAGATCCTGTTCTTACTACATCACTTGTGGCTGGCCAAGAAAAGCCAGGCAGGGGTCCTGCCTGTGGCCACTAGGTGTCGATCATGTTCTATACAGAACCTTGTAGTTCTCTGCTAGGTGCCCGTCCATAAGAGCACAGTAGCCTAGGATAACATTTTCTTATCCAAAAAACAAGAAATATCCACTACCACGGACTGGAAATAAAGAGGGAAAAATTCTGAAATTTCCTTTACACAATTTATTTCTCTACTTTCTGAAAATTTCAGCCATCATCAGATTATTTCGCTTGGTTTAAATTCCATATGTAATTCCAGTTATTTTTTCTTTTTTTACAGTCAGTTAACATTGTTCAGTTCATGTTTAAGAAAACGTAGGTCTAAATTGTGTACACATTTCTACAAGATTGTGATATAGCGTTGAAGATATGTCCTTATGTAGTTATCTTACTCATATAAGAAAATACTGGCCACCTTTCAATAAATAGAAACGTAAAACATTTATGCTATACGCAGTTTGCATTTTTCTCTACTCATATGAAATTGCTTTTTATGAAATTCAAGATGTTATTCAATATATGTATGATTTTTAATGTCTGATTTAGTGTTAGATCTCAGCGCTAAAAAGCAATTAGATTTGTTATTTTGAATGGTTTAAATCTGTTCTTCCCCAAAGAACAGTAATACAATCATGGTCTAATTTAACAGAATTTGCATATCATTAAACATATAATGGCCTGTAATTTACTTTTCTTTTGCCTATAATTTTCCGAAGCCCTTTATGAAGCACCAATGTATTTTTGTTAAAAGAAAATAGGTTATGATTCCTCAAATAATGTTTCAATTGGGTGTTCAAAAAGCAATCCGTAGACATAGCCAATAGAGGAATGAGCTAGAGAAGTCTCATTATCATTCAGTACGTGAGCTCTGGAATAAAAATATAAATTTCATTATCTAGGAAATGTGCACTCATTTAATTTCAAATCTGATATAATCAAGAAACCTTACCCTGCAATGACTGGACTTGCCAATACTACCAAAAATATTACCTTCAGTTCTCAGAGTTTCATTGAAAGTTCTTGGGTGCTTCGAACTTGAACTTGTAAATATCCTTCTAAAGGAATAACCCTTTTCAGAATTACTCTAAAATTTCTGGTCCTGCCTGCTAGACTATTGACACTAACAAACAATTTAACTTGGAAACCTTGATTGGAAATTTGGAAACAACTTTTGTCTGACCCCCTCCCTACCAAGGACTGTTCTTAAGGTATTGTCACTACTTACTAATCATGGTTATTCACACAGTGAATAAATAATAAGTTAATTAACGGAGTGAACTAACAACACTGCATTTCACAGTTTGTCCCACCCCCAGGCTTCAGTTCCTAAAGCCCTTGGGGTTATTTGTATTGTCGGCTGCAAAAAAAAAAAAAAAAAACAAACAAACAAAAAAAAAAAAACCGCTAAGATCATGTGGGAAAATAATGTTAAAGAGAAAGACTTTTCCTTCAGAAAATCTTTTATTAATACTTTGTACATTTGCTAAAGTTAAGCAGTAGAAACACATTAGCAATGCCATTTTATTTACCTTAAATAGGTAGTAACAGGAATTATATTGTTTTCCAGCTATCATTCCTAAATCATGTGAAATGTTTATAGGATATTCCTTCCCTAAATTTGTAGTAAGTTGTTCATAAATTGGTTTAATTTTGTTGCAAACTACACAATGACATGAATCTCTGTTCATAGAATCAATACTACAAAAAAATCAAAAATATTTCTGTATTTTGTCAACTTCTCCCACACACCCTCGAGCTATAGGAAATTCCATTTCAGTCATTACCAGGTTGTCTTCCTCTTTGGGGTTTGCATTAGAATCAGGGAGGTTTACAAGACACTAAGAAAGTGGAGGAAGGGCCTCTGATTTACAGTCATCAGTGATAATGATATTGCTTAAGCTTTCAGTGGGCCCTTGAATCCCAGTGGCTCTTTATGGCCTCCCTGAATATCTAAGAGGCACAGGGCTCATTGGCAAGACCAGGTAGAAACCTAGCAAATGACTGGGACTCTTGTGCATCAGATAGACAGATATTCCTTCAAAACATCACATCCTCTGGAGTGGCCTCTTTCGGGGAATGCCTAACCTCCTGATCCACGTAGTTCTTGGCTTCAGGGATGGAACATGTAGTACCTAAATTAAGCCAATGAAAGCTGTCTAATCCCCTGGCAGCAATGGTTCAGTACCATAATCAATTGGTTAGGGCATGTGACCTAAGGACATCATGACCTAGGGCTGGATCCTAAGGACATGATGAGCTTCCCATACTTGAGTTACGTGAACCAAATAAACCTCCTTAGTATCTAATTCAGTGTGAGTCAGCTATTTTTGTTCCTTGAACCCCAAGGGGTTCTATTGGAATGTGAAACATGGAAGTGAGAGTGATGTTGCAGACCCTAGATTGTTGAACAGGCAGGGTTGAAGAGCCACAATGGGGAGGGCAGTGAGGATATCACTAGCTTGTGAGTTAGCAGCTCTCGTTAAATGGTAGCAAAATCACTGGTTAAATTGTTGCCTGGTTACATTGGCAATTGGCAAAATCACTGGTTAAATTGTTAAATTGTTACTAAGGATTCAGGCAATGTCTACCATGGCTGTCACATCAGAGATTGTTAGGAAAAATTCAAGCCATTGGAGGCTCTTGCTTTCTTCTTATAGCCTTCAATAAGGTCCCATAAGAGACAGCTAAAATAATATAATTTTTATGAGAGCTTTCCTGTTATATTTTCAAATCCAGAAAATACTGCTGTTCACCCACTGAAGGAATGTGTTTTCATGCTTCAGCAAAAGGGTGAATTTTAGCTAGATAAAGGAAGTCAACATTGTGAGTCACTGGTAAACAGTCTCAAAAGCCAGACATTATGGAGAAAGAAGAGAATTTTTTAAATCCCTTAGGCTCCCATCTTATAACAAGAAGTAAGTCTGGATACTTAAATTTGGAGTTTTCTGTACACTAGTGGGGAAACAAATCTCTTATTATTCAGAGAAATAAAAAACCCTGGCATCCTGACCCCAGTGGACTATGGGAACAAGGCAAGAAAGAGTTAACATGAGGGCGTCAGAGACAAATGTCGAAGTTCATGGCTTGATAGCAGTAGAAACTTTCAGAGTAGGCAGATAGTCAATGCCAGTAGTCTGCTTTCCTTGAGGGCAGCTGCAAGCCTCTGGGAGAAACCCCATATTTAGCCTGATGCACATTATTCTGGTACAAAAATAGAGATTGACATACAGTTGCACAGGTTGAGCACTGCACAAGAAATTCATGTCTAAAGGGGCGCCTTTCATTTTACAGTTTTTGGAGTTTTTCACATTTATTATGGCAATTTTAAAGCATATGGCAGCGAAACATTTGTTATAATATAACAAAATCACCATGACAATTTTCCAACCACTGTAAGAAAAGTATCTTAAGGAAGATAGGTCTTCTAATTTGCATAGAATACCCTATGCGCAGTATAACTCTACCTCTAACCTGGTCCCACAAGGTCATGTAAGTCTCTCCCACCCCAGAACCATCATGGAGGTAACTAGGATAGGAGCAGTTTAAGCAAGAAGAGGTGGAGATATCTTTAATTCACAAGTGACATAATTTTTGTACCCTGCTACTCAGCAGGTTGGTGAGACAAGAGCAGGAACAGACCAACAACAGAAAATAAACCTACTTTTTTGTGTGTGCACAATTGAGCCATAGTGTGATCCATAAGTCTCTCAGATGTCTAAACTTCCACTGGAGGTGACCTGCCTGGAACAGAGAGAAAAAAAAAAACATATCTATTTTTATTAATAAAAAAACTCCTGTCCACCTGTGATCTATAATCTAGGTTGCAAATGGGTCAAATCACCTAGTGCAATGATTCTCAAACTTCAATGTTTATAAGAAACACCTGGAAATCTTAGTTTAAAAAGATTCTTATTCAATAAATCTGAACTGGAGGCTGAGATTCAACATCTTTAACAAATTCCCAGGCACTGCCAATGCTGCGGGGCCCTGGGTCCCGGCATTAAGTCACATGATTTTAGAGTCTAGAGCAGTGGTTCTCAGACTTTAGCATGGATTACAATCACCTGGAAGGCTTGTTAAAACAGGGTACTGGGACTCATCCCCAGAGATTCTGATTCAGTAGGCCTGGGGTGGGGCCTAAGAATTTGTATTTTTGACAAGTTTCCTGAGGACTCTGACATGAGTGGATCACACTTTGAGAACTACTGCTGTATTATGCAGCTCTCTTCTAAGGATCCCTTATTAATTTGCATCTGCCAGAGATAAGATGCAGTTCCTCCCAGTGAAGATATGGATCTCTCCCACCCCGAAATTCAATCCCAGCCCACTGTTTGCTAAGAGACAGAAATTCTCAAGCCTGTGGTCTAGGCTCAAAAAACTGTGACCAGTAAGGTTTCTGACTGTGGTTTTTAACTGGCAGAACTGAGAAGCAGCAATTAAACTGAAAGCTGCCAGGGTTTTAAGGAAGTTATGCGAGCTTTCACCCCTCTTTGTTATCACAGCACAGTGGTGCAGGCCACATTCAGGCCCCATGCTATGCCTTAGCCAGTGGTGTTCATGATCACGTCCACCCCTTCCACCAAGTTAAGCGCAGAAACCATGTCTTACTCTCCCCTGTTATCTCCTCTGAGCCCATCCTCAGCTCCCGTCCTAGAAACTAGAATAGAGTTTCATATTCTAAACAACAGGAATCCTATTTAAAAGATATTAAATTGTTATACTTTCCTTTCCCATTTAAGTGACTGTTCTACCAAAGGCCTTCCGTCATTAAAACCCAGTTTGTTGTCCAAGAAAAAGAAGAGAAGTAGCAAAAAGTCATCATACACAAAAGAAAGAAGGCATGACTTGGTGATGCCCCCTTGGACTAAAAGATGAAGTAAATATTCCTCCTGATTCTAGGAGGAACCCACAAGCTAGAGAAAGCTAGAACAAGAGAAAGGATATGTTCTTGGGGTTAAATCAAGAGAGGTCAATAAGGAAACCCATTTCCTGTTTGGGGCTCAGGGAGGAGATCGCTTTTCAGGGAACCCCTGGACTAAAATGGGAAAACTGCAACAGAACAGAAAAACAGACATGGTGGTATGCCATACTTAAGCAAGAAAGATAAGTGGGAATAGACCAGCTCTCCTGGGGCAGAGAAGGAATCCAAACATTGTCATATGCTCCTCGGGAGGCAGGGTGAGGAAGAGAGATGAAGGCCACTGAGCCTACCATAGGTCACCATGGGAGGGAAACTCGACCCTGTGGCACAGGCTGCAAGGTGGACAACCTAGGGCCAGACCAAGAGGAGCTGCAGCTCTAGGGAGAACCAAGGTAAAGGAGTATAGCAGGAGGGGGACACATTAGGTGGACCCCCACCAGACCACAATGTATCATAAGTTACACTGGCTGTAATTGTCAGCAGCTTCTGTCAGGAGGATTCCCAATGCATAGGCAGGACATCTTCTCAAAGGCCAGAGAGGATCAGAAGACAGCACCAGGACCAGCAGGTAGCCTCACCTTTTTCCTCCCTACAAAGAGGACAGGTAAGGTTTCCTCTCCATCCAGGTGCCATCTTGTGGAAGACGCCATCTTGTGGAAGACACCATCTTGCAGAATATGCCTCTTGTGGATATCTAAGCAGAGAAACAGTACTAAGAGGAACATGTACCTTAAATTTGACCAAGTATTTATCCAAAAGACACTAAGCAAGTCTTTAAAAGACTGTTTAAGCCAGCAGTGACTGAAATAACTTCTATGCACATGTTTGGGGTTTTTCCCACCATCCGTGGGAATGAGGTTTTCAGGGCAAGATGATGATAGTTTCTTTCCCACACCTAAATCTATAATCTATATATTATAGATTATATAATTATAGATTATATAATATATAACCTAAATTATAGATTATATAATCTATACCATAATAGATTACATAATCTATTATGGTATAGATTATATAATTATAGTATAGATTAAATCTATTATAGTATAAATCTATTATAGTATAGATTATATAATCTATAATTTAGATTATATAAATATGTGACCTCTCAACAAATGTTTAGCAAACCATGCTGTTACATTGGTTTTACATAAGCCCAGTTTGTTTAAGCTAAATTTTCATTCACCAGAAAACAATAGCAGAAAATAAAGCTATGAACAGCCCAGAAACAAAGCCCAGGTCATTGGGTAGTGGAAGAATGGATGACTAATGAGGAGATTAAGTACTCTTGAAAAATTTCCTTTGTCTTCACTTTAAAACTGATTTGTTTTTCTGGCATTCATTTGATGAAAATGAATTGAGTCCCTTCCAAGGAGGATACACATAAAAGACGGAATACTAATAATGATAATACCTCACACCGCATTTTACTTATGGTAGGCATTGAATATTTATATGGACATTTGATGTGCTGATTAGATTTGAAGAGCGATATCATGAAAATTATATAGTGTACTTGGTTGATTGAATGGAAGTGGGAAGATGAGATGAGCTCTCCTAGAAACATCATTGTGGCTAACCAGGGCTGGGTATGGTCGTTAATTGTAATAATAGCCATTGTTGGATGAATAGCAGTGGCTGCCTGTCTGCAATGGTCAATGTGCTGGGAACAGAGAATGAGCTCACTGAGGCACAACTTTCCTCTTAGTTCTAGCTGAGTGGGAAGATGGGCCACTGTTCATTCTTCTCCATGTCCGTCTCTAGAAAGATATGTGAGGAACAGCCAGTACAAAATCCTCATTTTATAGATGAGGAGTCTGAGCCCAGAGAGGCAAAATAATTCACCAAAGGTCACACAACTTCTAAATGACAGAGACTGGAATGAATTTCCAGTCTCCCACATCAGGAGTTTTTCATTTACTGCAGACACTTCTGGATGAAGATGATAGAGCATAATAAGACAAAAATGATTATTGGTCCAGGAAAGAGAAGTCCAGGGACAGTTTCAGGTCTGGCTGAATTCACATGCTGAGCCAAGGTTGCCAGGAAGACATCTTTGCCATCACTCAGTTCCATCTTGTGTTATTTTGGCTTTTACAGAATGCCAAAGATGGTTACCAGCATCTTCAGACCTAGGTTCTACAGCTTAGAAAATCCAGTGGGAAGACAGCCTTCTTGCTGATACTTCTGGGAAAGGTCACAATTCTGGTTCCCCTGCCCTTGTCCCTTCCCATCTTTAAACCAATCACTGTGCTTAGGGGTGTATAGTTCTCTTATAGGCCAGGCCAGGGTCCCACACCTGCTCCTAGGATGCAGGGTCAGTCCCATCCTAACCAAGGAGCTTGAGAGTAGAGGGTAAGGTGGTTTCTCAAAGGCAAATCTGGTTGCTGTTACCAAAAGAAGGAGAAAAAAGAGTCTGTTCCTATGGCTACGGCTTTCTAGTCTGTGTGGTCTTGGCACACCTGTGACAGCAGACACATACCCTCAATTATTATCAATTGAAAGAGATACTGGTTTATCTCCTTTCATAAGAGATGGGAAATTGGACTTCTTCCTATAGAAACACCTTCAACAAGGTTCATTCTGGAAGTTAATGTCAGGGAGGATCCTGGCATAATATGTGAGCGTAGGAAATATATTAGTATGTTTTTGGTGGGTATGACTTTTTTATAATTCTTATTTTAGGAAAAGTTCTATAGCCTACTTTACTCAGTCCCACATGTGGCAGTATTTTTTACCATGTGAACACAGAAATGAATTAATGACAAATGAACCTCCAGTTTACTCCAGGCTTGTGTTAGGGAAATTATTGTCCATGATTCTGCTTATTGCTAACAACAACAACAAAAAAGTTAATCAAGCTTTCTGCCTGATAAGTGAGTTGCCACTGTGCTTATTATCTGTTTATGACTAGGCAGAAGCACACAACGACCCTCTGTGTCCAGTGAGTTATGCAAGTCCTTTAAAAGCAGTGCATTAGCCATGGATCTTTCTGCTATCTCTCCCCTGCACTTTGCTGAGAGTTTTTCCTATTAAATAATAGAGCTATGCTTATCACAATTTATTTCTGCCTTGCTGGCTCCTAGGTGATTGCCTAGAGTTCTGAACCCCACATGGGAAGCTGTCGTTTAATAAAAACTACTTTAGAGAAAATGGCCACACTCCCCTCATCCCCCTCTCACCTTCCTTGAGGCTGACCAAATAGGCTGGTCTTTTAATCAGATTTTCTTATTGTCCCAGATTTCTGGAGCTCATCAATGATAGCTGCCATGAGTACGTGGAAAGTGTAGTATATGCTGAGAACTCCACATCTCATATTTCACTTAATCTCCCCAATAATCTTATAAAGTAGTTGCTATTAATATCTTCCCCATTGTACATGAAGAGACTGAAAGTTAGAGGTCTAAAGCAGAATGAGAATATAAATCCAAAAGTCTGAGTCAAAGCTTTATGACCTTAACCACCCTGCTGTGTAGCCTGTCTATTCCCAGGTTGGTCCAGCGGGCTCCTTGTCTTCTTATTTCTTACCATGGTATCTCATTGATTGCTGTTGAGGAATGGATGGTAACTGGGTTGAGATACAGAGGGAGTTTTGCTTCTGTAATTTCAGGAGATCCTTGTGTACCCATATTAGTGCAAGTAGATTGCACTTCATTGGGAAAGAACTGTCAGTATTCCCTGGGGACCTCCTTTTAATAACTAAGAAGGGCCTTGCCACATTTGACTGCAGTCTTTTATCAGTCACTGTGAACTCTAAATTTCAATTATTATGATATCATCTAGGATTCAAGACCATTAGTGAGACAAATGTTCAGGAGGAGGTTTGTTCAGCTTTGTGATGGACTATTGCATTAAAAAAATATAACACAGGATTTTTAAAATACAAAAGTGTAGAATGGTTGTGAATCTGTGTATGGTATTTAATCTATTTTTCCCAAATGCTTACTTAAGAAGTTAAGCCCAGTGATATAAACTACCACTAGGAAAGTTCCCAATTTCATGCTGTTCTTATGCTATTTCATTTTATGTAAGTACATTGGAGAAGCATATGAGGAAAAAAGGTACGCTCATCTGTTAAAGATATTATAAAGAATGGTGAGCAATTTAACCAAAAGGAAAGAAAACCACTTAATTCATTTATTAATCCTTTCAATAAATTTTTGTCAAGTGTTTATGTTTTACTAGATGCTAGGAGAATTGGGAAGCCCATAGTCTGACAGAGATTCCAAAGACAAGCAAAACAAAGCTGTGAGTGTCACAATAAGAGTTAAGAAGGGTGGAGGTAGATGGCCACTACAAGCTCAAGCTTGGAGGGTTCAGGAACATGGCTCAGGACCCTCGCTTGTTGCTTCTGGGACCTAAAAGGCTGAATAGGCATTAATTAAGTGGGGAGGTGTGTTTCAGGCCAAGGGATAGCACATGCCAAGGCCTGGCTCCGACATAAGGAAGTGAAAGTAGTTGGGTGTTATTGGAGCTGATTGTGAAAGCGGAAGTGGCAAAAAACAAAGGCTGGGAAGAAACAGAAGTTGAATCTTAGATAGTCTATTTGCTAAGATAAAATTTCCACCTTTATATTAAGATCAATAAGTAGCCACGGAAAAGTTTTAAGCAGATGAATGGCATGATCATATTTGTGCTTTAGGAAGATACCTTTTGTCTCAGTGTCCAAGATGGGTGGAGGGAGGCAAGCTTAGAAGCAGAGAGTGATTTAATGTTGGAAACAAAGAGCTGTGGAAACAACCAGGCAAGATTCAGCGGAGGCCTGAACTAGGCAGGTGGCATCTGAATGGCAAGAAATGGACAGATACGAAAGATAATTGAAAGGGCGGGAGGGTACTGTAGCTGGATGGCATACATTTCTGAGGAGCAAGGAAGAAGAGGAATGGTCTGGGAATAGTATTTGGTGAACCAGCACTCTTCATTTGAGCAGGCTGCAGGGAAAGTTGTATCCTTGGAAGACAGTCATATTTCAGTTAAAATGAGATTGGAGGGAATGTTCATTGTGGCAGTGGAAGTGGGTCAGATTGGGAGGTGAGAGATTATCCTCACCTGAATTAGATTGTGCAGTCCCAGGGAGCAGGAGAGAGAAGCAAGGAAGTGTAATAGAAAAGGAATAGGGAGAGAACATGAGGACCCATCATAGAGCTGACTGCTGCTAAATGCAACTGCTCAATCCCTTAGGACCATCCTCTAAGCAGTCCTATAATTTCATCATGGAGGAAATAAAGAATTTAACCACTGGCTTCAGTCTCCAATTAGTCAAAGGTTTATCTCAAGGGACATGAACCTCCCTGCACTTCCATATTTGACATACTTGAGTACAATATGGGTCTTACGGATCACTGGAGGGGGCTGGAGCAGGAAGTGGGAAGTTATGATGATGTCAGGTTGCACCTGCATGCAAGTGGTCAGAACATACCCCGAGAGCAAGTTATCTCAGTGGCAGCTTCAGTGAAGTAGGTGAGCCAAAGAATATGAAGTAGTACCTAAAAGGTATAAAATACAGTCCACCCCTTGCACTGTTCAGCTTCACTTTGACCCACTATTGTATCCAATTCCCATACTACAATATAGGTCTCTATTTTTGTGAGAACAAGTTGTCCTCATCTATTGCACTCATCCAGTCTGTCCAAAGTCCCCTTCAGTGTGATGGTCAGCCACAGTCTGGTTGAGATTAATAAAACAATCTTCAGTCCCATGGCTATATCTGTATCTGAAGTCATAAGAAATGTTTATCTCCAATCTCTTCCAACAATTCCATGTTTCCCTCACCAATGGCCAGAACATTAGCTTTCTGGGTTGGTGTCCTGGTAGGATGACACAGACCTTCATCCTTGAGGGGCCTGAGCCCATGTTGGTCTATAGTTGTGGCAATACAACTAATTATCAACTTGACAATACAACTGTGTAGATAAAATACAACTATGATAATTATGTTATTACTAAGAAAGAAGCACCAATAGATAACCTGGGAAAGCTTTGGGTTCCAGACATGCATCTATTTGCCCCCAGCAATACAGCAATCCTAGGTTTTCAGGATAATTGTAGATTATCACCTTCACAAATACAGTAATTTTTTCTTCCCTGGTTGGCCCACAGGCATGAGGAGTCTAACTGGTATTTTTACCTTAAAATTCAGAGAACTTTTACACTTCTTCTGCCAGAATCATTTTCTTTCCCATCCACAACCACAGTCAGGACTTCTAATCCAATGGAGGCTAAGGTTGCAGTATGGGAAACAAATTGTGTAATCACTTGGTGGTTGCCAGTCCCATGTAATTAAGCTACTAGGGATTTAGCATCATACACTGGTCATTGGCTTAATGTATGCACCATATCCTGGAAGGCCACATTCCAGCTCTGCTAGGTGTTGTCCCCAACCTGGAATCTTAAGTGAATCTTTAATCTTAAGTAAGGATTTCTACCATTTCTTAGGATGCTGCTTCTGGGTGATAGGGTACATGGATCAATTAGTGGACCCTGTGGTCATGCACCTATCACTCTACCTTGTCTACTATAAAATAGTTTCCTTGGTGTGAGGCAATGTTGTATGACACGTTGTGTTGATAAGTCAAGTGTTCTATAAGCTTTGGATGGTATGCCAGTTGAGGTACTTCAGACAGGGAGGGCGAACCTACAGTCACATTGAGGATCAATTCTTGTAAGGACAAAGTTATGTTCTCCCCGTACCCCCAGGGTGGATGATGTCTAAATGTAACCAACCTGATACCAACAGGCTGGCTGATCTCCATCTCTGCTGCTGGAAGTTTGGGCTTTCAACAGTAGCATTAGCTAGACCAGAGGGAATTTCTGCATATGCCTCTATCTCTGCCACATGAACACTCCATTCTTGGGCCCATCATCCGGCAAAGAGGCGATCGATGAGAGACAGATTGGCTGACATGTATGATGAGTTATTTTCCCCCACTGGTTGTTGAAAGCCCCCTGGGCAGTGGATGTTCTCCAGTAGGTAGTAATATCTGCATACCTTGTGTCCTTTTTTATAGGTCAATCTATAGATCTATTCACCAGACCTCTTTGTCCCCAATTTTCCACATCTGTTCCTTCTAGCCTCCTGACCAGTAGTCCAAGCAAAGTGGATGACAAGTTTATTGCTCAGCACTTTCCCACTGATAGAAATCCTTTCACCACTGTCCTTGAGAGATACCACTAAGTACGTCTATAGTATGTCAGCAGTGCATTTTTGGCTAGCATCTAATGACGCACTTGTGAACCATATCTGAAGTTTTTATCCTCTATCAGTTAGTCATAGGGAATCCCCCATAAGCTGTAAGTGAAAGATGAGATAGAAGGTATCAGAGCAATAGAATCAGATGATGTGCGAATATGAGCCATCTCTTCATGCAATGTACTCTGGCTTATTGGGCCTGCTTGGGCCCATTCCCAAATATAACATTACCATGCTATAATGGATTGCTACTGTGCTTATCCAATCTATAATTCAGTGGGTCTCATAGTATACAGCTTGCTATAGTTGGGATATTTGTCCCCTGAAAATGTCATGTTGAAATTTAATTCTTCCAGTGTTGGAAGTGGTGCCTCGTGGGAGGTATTTGAGTCATGAGGGGTGGATCTCTCATTAATAGCTTGGTTAGTGGTAGTGGGTGAAGTTCTCACTGTGTTAGTTCCTGGGAGAGCTGGTTGTTAAAAAGAGCCTGGTACCTCCTTTCTCCCTCTCTTGCTTCCTTTATCACCATGAGTGGAAGCAGCCTGAGCCCTTCACCAGAAGCAGATGTGAGACCTCTATCACCAGTGGATCTGTTGAGTCTTACAGCCTAAGTGGCAGAACTGCTGCAGAAACTTCTGTTGACTGTGGCCCATGAAAAACTTCTTAATCTCCTAGAAAGTAGACCAAAGCAGTATTTTTAGATGCAGTCTATTCCTCCACCAAAATTTTAAAAGGTTTACCAAGCACTGGAACTCTTTCTCAGTGGTGGCGGCTGGCAAGTGAAACAATGTGTTCATTTCTTTAGAAGAATGTCCTAGCATGTTCTGGACTGCTGTATAACTAAAAAGTTTACCAATATGGTGGGACCCTGTATCTTCATAGGATTTATCTTCTACCCTCTGGCACAAAGGGTATTAGCATTTCCCATAAGCAAAGCATCATCAGTATAATAGACAAGTATACTATTGGGATGTTCTGAAGAAGGTCAAGATGATTAAAGACTCTAAAACTATATAATGATAGGGAACAGGAGAGTTAAAACAGTGAGTGTATACAGCTGTTCCTCTAAATGTAAAGGCAAGTTTCTTTTGATCATTTTTACTGACGGAGACCTAGTCAGCAAACTTTTTCCATAAAAGGCCATTCAGTAAATATTTTCAGTGACATGGTTCCATTATAATCATTCAACTCTGCTTTTGTGGGCCTCTGGTTATATTTAGCCCATGAGCTATAGTTTGCCTACCCCTGACCCAGAAAAATGTGTTTTCCAGGTTAGTAGCTGCACATAAAATGCCAGAAATTGTGTTGATCTGCTCCATTAAAGGAACCACATTTTGCATGTGAGCTGCAATGGGAGTCATCACCCAATGTTTATGGTAGTACACCATTGTCTGCCCAGACAGGTCAACTGAATAGGGATATAATGGGACCAGCACCCCTACATCCTTTAAATCTTTGATGGTAGTAAAATCTCTGCAATTCCTCCTGGGATGCAGATTACTTCTCATTTACCATATAGGGCAAGCATGTGTGTGTAGGAGCCTGTGTGTGTGTGTGTGTGTGTGTGTGTTTGTAGGTGGAATTGCAGAAATTTCAGAGGTTTTCACTTGGCCCTTCCTACCATAATGGCCCTTACTCTACAAGTCAGAGAAACAATGTGAGTATTCTGCCAGGTACTTAAAGTAACTGCATGCTTGGGGACTATGAAAATTACTGAGATAAAGTTGGGCTAATATTTCATTTATCACCCCGCCTGCATATACATACTCTAACTGGAAGTCCATGATGAAGTTTTGAGTTCACTAACATCAGAAAATCACATCTTATATTTAACAGTGTTCAGAAAAAGCTGTGTATTTTCCTTCTCTCAGAGTACAATGCTTTGTCAAATGGCCACAGGTCCCTTTGGGGAAGAATTGGAGGAATATTTAGGGTATATACATATACAACATATATACAATATATGCATATACAATATATGCAGTATTGTAGGAAATGCAGTCTTCCTTGCAATATATGGGTTTTAGGTCTATGAATTAACTTAAATCTTGAAACTGGAAGAAGGACTGCAAATTTCCATTTTGGTAACTGCTGATATCATACTTCTGCTCAGTAGTTCTCAATTTTTAAAAATAAAATAGTGCAAGTCAGCAACCCCAGTCATTAGTCTGTCTATCTCACATCTAGGAACACCGTGATTAGCCAACACCAAAGATCTGTGTTTAAGTGACCGTCTGTCCCTGCTGCACATTGTAGACATTGTGTGCACCAAACCTCTGATAATCAGACAATCAGAGCCCCAGGCTCTGCCACTCTGGAATCCTGTGATCCCCACTGATAATGTGGAGCATCATTTCATGGCAGCATCTCCAACCATCAGTCCTTTTTACAAAGACAGGTTCCATCAAACATCTGAACAACTGTCAGTACCCTCTGACTATTTCATTCCTTATTGTTTTGGTAAAGGGAGTGTCTTCTGGATCCCCTCAGCCAGGTAAAAGTTTTCTTGGTCTTACATAATAAATTAATTCTGACAGCCCCATCTTCATGAGCTTTGTAATCCTTCCTTTAACACTATACCAAGAAAAGCCTAACATCTCTACTACTTTACTAAAGGCCATCATCCTGAGCAAGCTTTAAGGAGCCATCCAACAGACTTTTAGGATCATCTTGAGATGTTTCCCAGAGCATTGAAACCTAGACCATGAGTGAGCTCTTCCTTGCCAATAAATGCTCTCTACTCAGTCTTATATCTGCCTTCCCATAGAAGGCTAACACCCTTTAGATCTACTTTCTAATGTGTTCCCCATGTCCTGAAAATCCTTTGGAGTGTAGAGTATTCCTCCTGGAGCAGAGGTTGTACTTTCCTGATCAGATCTGACTCTGGTTGTTGGTCTGGAGGTCATGAGGAGTGGATCTTGAGGGGAACTGGTGCCATGTTGCAAAGCACCTGACCTCAGGGATGTCATTTCACCACCTTTAGGAAGGGGGAGACTGGTCTTCTCAGGCAAAGTGGAAGGCATTGCTTCTTCCATCCTGGAAAGTTCAGGGAATTTTATAGGGGGTTACCAATTTTGGGGTTGGTCCACCCAAATATCCCTAACACAAGTCATAGGATCCCACTCTTTTTTTCCATCAGGCATTACCTTTGACAGATGAGACCTATTGAACCTATGCATTGAGTTACCCGTGCAGCTCTGCTATACTTAAAATTAGATGCTGGACCTAATTTTCAGCACAGTCTGCCCGAAATGAAAGTTTCCTTCAAAGTTGCCATAGAACACTCTGACTTACTTCAGTGTGTTTTTCCTTGGCGGTTGGCTGTTATGAGTTTCTCATTTTCTTGTGCCAAGCCTTGCAATGCATTTAAGAAAGTTATCACACTCAAAAATTCTTATAATCATCATTGTCCTTATAACATTCAAGTACATCATCTTCTGCCTGCACCTCACTCCAATTAATCTCATGTCAAGGGAGAGGAATCACATAGAGGTATGGGGTGGGAATGAGGAGAAGCTAAATAGCTGTATGCAAATTGAAAGCTTAGGCCTTTGGAATAAACTGGCCTATAGAAGCATTTTGTTTGGCAGGCTCAGCTTTCAGAAAAAAATTTGAATTTAAATGTTCTTAGGCATAGCATGCATTTTTCCCATTGGTCACAGTTCTTACCAGTCCTTACTGTGTTATGCCCAGCACACTCTACATAGTCCCCTTCCTCCCCTGACCCCTAAGGGCATTTGAGCTCATCATCATCTGAGTATTTGGATTATATCTTAATAGCAAGGCAGAGTGGATTTATCTAGCTGCAAGTTTTCCAGAAAAATTACTCTTGGCACCCTCTGGATGGGAATGTCTCATGTCCCCCGGAAAAAGTGAGCAAAGGCCTGGGTTCCCTGAACACCTTTGACATTTCCAGCATAGACCAGCAGGGAAGCAACAGGGATAGTTGATTCTCAGAACACTGGGCACATGTTGAAAAGAGCAGCAGTCTCTTTTTGAGAAAATACATAACACATTCAAGGGATAAGGAGAAGACATTAGAGTATCTTTGGCTTGGTTGAGAGGTTTCATCCTGACTCTGATTTAACACAATGATGCTGTACCTGGTTCTCTTCCCTACTATTTTTTTTTTTTAGCTCAGCAGTGGCCTTCAATTCATTAATCATTTTCCATTTATTCCCAAAGCAAGATAAGAGTTATAGTTGCTGTATCATCAAAGCAGAGCTTGAGGTCTACTGTCTGTACATACTGGTAACAGGATAACACCATTCTGTTAAGTGAACTATCTGGATTTATAAGGGAGGTTGAATTTCTGAAATTCATTCTGAAGTGGATGATAGATACTATATATATATTTTGTTAGGAAATTTACGTCATAGATATATTTATTGAGGATCATTCTGTGCAGATGTTGCATCAGGCTCTGTAGATGCTGTGCAGATGTTGCATCAGGCTCTGTAGATGCCAGAGAGTTAAGATATGGTCTGCTGCCCTTGGGGAGCTAAGAGTCTAGTAGGAAAATGCATGAAATCATGTGAGGTCTGGGCGGAGTGTTGTGGAGCCCTAAGGAGGGAGGGAAGGCTTCATAGAGGAAGTGGCTTTTGTTCTGAGCCTGGAACAATAACTTGCTCCGGAGGCAGAAGTTGGGAGATGGAATGGCAGTTCAGAGCTAGGGATAAGATGTGGGACCACTTGCCCCCATGTCTAACTGGGCTGCCTTGACCACTATTGCCCCATCACCACCTCACTTTGGGTGTTCTGCAGTTACTTTAATTAAGGATCTCTGCTAGACTCTGCCTTCCCATAACTCTAAGATAGGCAGATTGTTCCAGCTATCTGCAAGTAGCAAGCTAGTCTTGGTTCCCTGAACTGGGCCCATGGGAGCTGGTTGAATATCCACCCCCAGCTGTAAATTTGTAAGTGTAACATCATACTAATGTCACATATCAGTGAAGGGACTAAAATGTTGTAGATTTATTTTCCCAGTTTCAGAAGGTTGGAGTTCAATGAGCAGGAGCAGGAATAAATTGCTACATTGTCACACTCTTCTGAGCATCTGGAAGGAAAACTGTATCTGAAGAACTATAGGTGATCAGGTGAATAGCAGAGCAGGTGCTGTGGGTGATCGGGTGTATTAATTCTCAGTGGAATAGTTAAGTGTTTCCTCTTTCTGATGAGTTGGTAACTGAAGGCATTTTCAACCTTCATTAACTTCATGTTTGAATCAGTGATTCTGTTGTAGGGGTCAGGGGAAACTTGCCCTTTCCACGAAAGTTCACTAAAAGATCAACTTCCAATTAAGGCAGATTAACCAGAGAAAGGTTTATTTACCATGCACATGGGGAGAATCACAGAGTGATTACCCAATGTTCCAATGAAGTCCAGATATGCTTATACCTGTCCTTTTGGAGGGGAGGGGAGATAAGGAGTGCAGGTAATTCTGCTTAGGGGTGACAAATGGTGCTTGGGAGGACAAATGGATGGGGGAAACAGATTGACTTGTAAATGACTCTCTTTGCAAATTAAATTAACTTGAGCAAATTAAATTACCCTGAAAGACAAGTATTATATTTAAATGATGTGGGCCAGGTCTGTTTGCAACCTTGATCCTTCTTCCTGCAATATTTTGGGATAACAAGGAGAGGAAAGAAAGTCAATTGTCCCTTTGATCTTTTAATCAGTTAGTCCAGTTTATGCAGAGAGAGGGAAAGCACTTTGCAGTGCTTTTTGATCTCTAAGGGCCTTGATTCAAAATACCAAGGAATTATATTTTGGGTGAAGTTTCCTGACCTCTTTCACTGTACTGTGATGTGCACAAGTGAGCCCCCTGGATGCTAAAAATGCAATGCATTGACTCCATTGTTTAAATCAGAATCTCTGAAGTAGGCCCCAGATAATGGTGTCTTAAAAGCCATTCACAAGGTTATAATTTGCAGCCAGGGTTGACTACCATGGTTCTAGACCAAAAGTGAGAGAAAGGGGTAGGGTAACTTACCTTGGGGAATACCATTATTGCCATCTTCCCTCTTTTTGTAGATGTATCTATCTGTTTAGTAACACTAATATGGGGAGATGTAATCAGAATTCTTCTTTGGGGTGCATTCCATTAGTTTGATAGAAATATGCTTTGATGAGCTGCTTGGGACTAGAGGCGAGTTCTCTCAAGGGCATGCTCAAAAGCAGCAGTTCCCAAAATCACAAGCTTATGACAAGGAGAGGGATTAGATGGTCTTTGAGAGATCAGGGAAGAGAATGTAGAAAAGAGGGACAGGAAAGGAAAAAGAGCAAAGCAACCTGCTGTGAGCCTCCAAATCTTCCATGGCCTGAACTCCCAGTGCCTGCGGTAAGGATTTCTTGTGGACACAGTGTTGAGTGCTGAGGTTTCTGCACGAGTGAGAGGAACAGTATAAAGTAGGAGCTGGAAAGTCAGAAATGTCTCAGTGCGGTTTGAGTCTCAACCGTGTTGATGGCTAATATGCATTGAGAGTACTTTAGACATTCAGGAATTTGAAAAAAAAGTTGAAAGATATTGTCATATCATGGTGGAAGAGAAGTTGCTGATGTCAGTTGGTCACCCGGGTCACAGGTTCACAGCTAGAGCTGCATTTATGAGGTTCTACAGAGAGCCATTGTGACCAAAAGTGCCCCTCTATGTGCTAAACTCCTGGAGGGTACTCATAAACCAGGACTTCCCAAGACTGTCCTGTGGAACTTGAGTTCTAAGGAGGTTAAATTTTTAAAAGCTAAGGAGGATATCATGATCAAAGAAGCTTGGGAAATAGGCTAAATGAAAGGACCTCCAAAGCCTTTAATATGCTAATGAGAACAGTGATGTTCCAAGAGGAGAGGTATAGACTACAACTCTCATGTCTGTTCTCAAAGAATATCTCAGAGAACCAGAATTCCCTGACAGTTATTTTGGGAAACGCCACTGCTGGTCTATATGTATGAATGACCAGTGTTGCATAGAATTGTTTTGCAAGAAATGACCAGGAGACACAAATGAATAAGGACACACACTGATACATTTTAAATTTGTCTACTTTTTCAATCAAAAACCAACAAAAGTAAGTAGTTTCCCCTTTCAATATCCTTTTCTAGAAACAAGGCTTGTTAAAAACAAGCTGTTGCCGCTGCCAGAGGCAGCACGAAGCCTATGAGTGTTTATCCCCAAATGAACGATAACTTGATATAATAGTGAATTCAGCAGGGTTTATCTCACTCACTCCTTGAAACTCAAATTCCCTGTTGAGAATTAGGAAGACAGTTGGGAGCCTGAAAGTTAATTCATCTTGCTGAATTTCTCCTATGGCATATTCATGATGTTTTGTGCAGACTAAAGTTTAAAGAAGACCAAAAAGCAGTTGGCATTTCACAGTGGGAGGTTAGAGTTACAGCGTGCTGCTGGGTAAGGTACTGTTACTAAAATGGAGGTGTGCGATGGAGTCAGTACTGGGGTGGGAGGCAGAAACTACACTCTTGCTATGTGACCTTGGCCAAATTCTCAGCTGTCTCGTCTGTAAAATGAGGATTAAATGGTCCTGAAGGTCCCCTGCCGGTCAAATCTATTTGTATCTGGATGACTATGCAGTAACGAATCTAACCTATTCCAAAATTACTAGAAAAAAACCCGGAGAACTCAGCAAGTTGCTCAGATAACTTGCAAAAAGGGCTGTTCTTAGGAAAGAGGCCCCAGAAGTTTCACAGCCACCATTCTCAGTGGGACGAGGGGCAGAAAGGGCACAATGCTTCCTTTGACAAAGCTTTCCCATCTTGTGAGCTTTTGATGCATGGGTCACTCCTGGGTCGCCTTCCCTTCCTCCACCGGATCACACAAAATCCCTGGGGTCACATGATGCTGGAAAAATGGTGAAAGGTCCAGACCCTGAGTTTCCACATGATATTGCTGGTGAGTTCTGGTGGCCAGGGCTGTGGTCCTTTGTGACCGCTTAGTCCCCTCTAGCACTCTTGCAGCTGTCCCCGACTTGGAGTGTGACCACCTTCTTCCCCTCTGCCCTGTACTTCCCCATGGATCACTGGACATCCTCCAAAAAAGCAAATATTTTCCCGAGGGTTGTGAAGAGCTCAGTCTATACGTGCAACCACTTTCCTACCACGCCCTGGGAATGGTCGGTTTGCCTTTCCTCAGAAGCAGTAAGCCAACAAATGGTTGGATTTTCATATGCTGTGATATTATTGATAAGTTCTCAATAATCCACCTAACTTTGTCCCCCTAATACAATTTTGCTGTCTAGGAGGGTTGAAGTGGTCAAAATGTATATAATTTGATCCAAGTCCTCCCAGTGATTCTAGTATTCTCTCCACGCCCCCTCCTTTCCACCCTTTCCTGGACCCTTTAGCTCCCGAACATAAAGAAGGAGGCCATTTGTGTTGGCCTTAGTGACTTTGGAAAGGTTCCTTTCTTCGAGGGCTTTAGCCTTCCCGCCTGAAACTGGGGAGGATCTGTAAACAAAGTACAGTCAGCACTCCACGTCCATGGGTCCTACATCTATGGAGTCAAACAGCCTGAGATAGAAAATATTTATAAAAATGGATGACTGTGTCCATATTAAACACGTACAGACTTTGTTTTCTTGTCATTATTCCCTAAACAATACAATATAACAGTATAACAATTTACATAGCATTTACATTGTATTAGATACTATAAATAATCTAGAGATGATTTAAAATATACAGGAGGATGTGTGACGGTTCTATGCATCTACTACACCATTTTTATATCAAGGCACTTGAGCATCCATAGATTTTGGTATCCGCAGGGGGTACCAATCCCCCACAGATACCAAAAAAGGACTGTACATTTTTACTCATGTGACCATTTCCCGTTTAAGTACATTCTTCTAAAATGTCACACTCTTTGACACTACCACAGCCACCTCCACAGTCTGAGCCCGTGGATAACTGCTCTAACCTCCAGCATGGTCGTTCCACGTCCACTCCTGCCCTTCTATTTGTTCCTCACACAGCAGCTACAGGGATCTTTTAGTAATCTGATCAGTGCTTGTCCCACGGAAATCTCTTCTGGTTTCTACTGCTCTGAGGACAAATTCTAAACACTCACTCCCGTTCCCCAAGCTTCTGTCATGTGGGCCTTCTCTCCACACCTGCCTCCTTTGGGCATCGGGGCAGATGCTGGCCCTTCATCCAAGGTCCTCCTCCCCCTGTTTCTTCATGTCGTCAATTATAAGTCATCAAACAGGCGATAAGCATGCCACTTCATTAGACTGGGGAATCTATGATAATCACTAGCAGCCCGGTCTGAAATTTATTTTAATGAGTGACGTGTGGTAACAATCCAATTTATATTTTTATGTGATACAATTTATATTTTTATATGTCATATTTGTCCATATGGGAAGCCAATTTTTGGCACCATTTATTATTTGGCATACCCCTTCACTGTGCAATACTTCTCCCACATTTCTTAATTCTAGTATATACCTACGTCTGTGTCTACACTTTCTATTCTCTTTAATTGGTCTTCAGTGTCTATTTCTGGACCATGACCACACTGTGTTGATTAATACATAGCTTTATAATAAATCTTTGTATCTGGTAAGGAGAGTTCCCCCTCCCTCCTTATTAATTTTTCTTTTTTAAAATTGTCTTTGTGATTCTTGGCTCCTTTCACTTCCATCAAAATTTTAGGATCACTTTATCCAGTTCTGTGAAGAACCCCTGTTGATTTTAATTGGAACTGCATTGAATTCTATAAACTTGGGGAGATTTTACATATTTCTGACTTTTCATCCAGTAAGAGAGCATATGTTTCTATTTTATGTAAATCTTCTTGTATGCCCTTCTATAAGGTTTTATAATATTCTTCATAAAGACATTAGGCATCTCTATTAGATTCCTAGGTCACTTATAGATTTTTGACAATGTAAGTGGTATTTTAAAAAATATATCCTTTAAATGCTGGTTGTTGTTATATGGGAATGAATTCATTTTTCATAAGGTAATCTAGTATTTAGCAACTTTGATAAATTCTTTTATTAATTGCAGTTATTTGTCTTTAACTTTGCTTATATTTTTATGTAGATACTAATTTCACCTCCAAATAATGATAATTTGATTTTTCTTTACCTATCCTTTTAACTTTTATCTATTTTTATATATTATTATGTTAACTATGACTTTCAGAACAATAACATTGAATAAAATCGGCATGGTAGACACCTTTGTCAGTTGTCACGCTATTAAGCATGATATTTGCTCTAAGAGTTTATGATTTTTCTTTCTCAGACTAAAACAATTATTATAAGTTTCTATTATGAATTTTCATTGGATTTTACAAAATGCTTTCTCCGCATACCTAGAGATTATATGGCATAAAATGAGATGCAGATTTTCCCTCTTTTTCTACTTACTGAATCAATTTGTATAAGAGGAGAATTATTTGTTCTTTGAAGAATTGTTAGAACTTGCCTGTAACATCATCTAGACCTATAGCTGTTTTTCATTCCTTATTTATTTCTTGCACCTGCAGCTTTTCTTTTTTCCAAGTCAATTCAGTAAGACATTTTTTAAAATCACTATATATTATAGACAGCATCCTGCATTTCTACATGTTATACAAATTGTTTAATTAACTTGGTATACCAGCTTTCTAGAATCAGAATTCTGGAATTATTTTTAAGAAAATATATTTTGGTTACTATTGTGATTGAGGCCTCCATTGTATGATACATTCTAGCTAGTCAATATTGGTATATAAAACGTATATTTGCATTCATTTCTAGTCCTCTTTACAATGTGCTCAGTGTATTATGAGACTCAGTGGCCTGTAACTGCAAGATATTTTATTTCCTTTTGTATTCAAAATATAAGAATTGCTAGGCGCATTGCATGGACTATCAGAAATTTACACTTCTCCAAGATTTCCCAGTCGATTTTTTTTGAGTCCCCAAGGAAGTGGATCTCTGCTGGTGTTTTTGTCCACTTGCTCCTGCAGCCCACCACACTCAGAACCACTGCTTCTGCAAAGACAAGTAAATCCCCTCTCACCAGCTCATGGTGCATTTCATGTGCCTCTCCGATTGTCTCCACGCTTGGACACGATCCTCTCTCATAATTCCCAAGGTAGAGCCAAGAACAGGCTCATGAATTTAACAAAACTTATTGGTGAGCATATAAAGAAGATGATCGAGTAACTTATAATTAAAAAAAAACTAGACTGTCATCAGACTTTTTAGTGTGTGTGACAGAGACCGCAGGCTGGTCACAACATCCTTTCTTTCCTCCTTCCCGGACCCGTGGCTGGAGTAGACGTCCTTATTTCTCTTGCAGTTGTTCCATGTGACTAAGTTCTCACCAGTGGAATTTGAACAGAAATAAAACGTACCACTTCTAGGCCTGGCGCATTAGAACTGCCCAGTCACATTTCTCCATGCTCTTTCCTCTTTGTGGCCAACTGGGAGACGACAACCTTAAGGAAATCTTGGCAGCCACGTGTTGAAAATGGCAGACTCTCTGTTACACCTGAGTCTCTGAAAACGATATCACTGCTGCTGCTGGCCTGAACCCCCTCCTTGAGA